AGACCGATGAGCTTTGTAAAAATCGACGCGTTTCAAAAAGGCGGGGCATAGAGGAGAAACAATAATGTACAGTATGTGGAAAATAATGTGTTTTTTTAACTTTAAACTGCATACACACATTTCATTACACCAAATACACAAAATAATGTTCTTTTTAGCAACATCATATGACCCCTTTAACTATAATAACCCTGCAGTGATTTATTAAATATTACTGAAAATTAACATGTTTTAGTTTAGTTTAGTTAAGTTTTTTTGTGTGTGTGTTTGTTTGAAATGAAGGTAGTTCTGATTTGGCAAAAATCATCCTTTTTTAGCAATTTCAAAGCAAATACATAAATATAAGTTATATATCAAATATTGCCAAAATGCTGAAAAATATTGAGATATAATTGTGCTATGTTATGTCATCCAGTCTTACTTCTGAGATTTATCTTTTTTTATTTATTTATTTATTGTTAAATAGTAATAAGTATTTACAAATAACGTTCTCTAATGGTTAAATTTGTTTAACAATTTGTTTAATTTCATAATAATAAACTACTCAGAACTGGTGGACATCAAGCAACATTAAAACTTTTGGTATGAAAATGTTTTCATAACACCAGGAAAGTAAATAAATAAATAAAAACATTTTTTTTTAGCCTGCATTAAAGCTGCTGTCCGTATGTTTTGTCTCGTTGTCGCCATCTCTGTTTGAAAACCTGCAACTGCAGCTGTTTGCGGAATTATCTTCCTTGCGTGGGTTGTGCGTCGGCACGGCTGACGGCTCCAGCGCGGATGAATCTAATGTTTTGAGGAGTATGTGTGGCAGTCAGTCACCGCACCCGTGTGGATATTTAATGTACTTCGCAATCACAGATTCTAGCCGACGTCTTGGAATATGACCCAAATAAGCATTTTCACCATATATGGTCATCTGAACAAGTAAGTAACAAGTCTGCCACATTTGTTCTGACCAACTGAGGAAAAAAATAATTACAATAAATCGCGCTACCAATGGTTATTTAATCTAAAGATCGGTTTGCTCATATCAGATCAAACCATGCAAATTATGATTGTTATACTTTATGCTCAAATTATTAATGTTAACAACATCAGCATTGCCTATAGTGTGTATTAGCGTGTAGATTTCAATTTCTGAACAGTCTAACCTCTAATTGTCCATTCGAATTTCATATTAAGAAATTCTTTTAACCCAAAAAGCAAATTATGCTCCTTTCGAACTGGTTGTCTTTAAAATACAAATCTTGTGTAATCCCAGGCTATCTGTAATCAGAAACACATTTAAAACTGGAATATAATTTAATTTAATTCACATGTGTTTCATAAACACATAATCCTTTCTGGATTACAATCCGCCATTGAAACGATACATTTAATTATTCCGGCTGCTGTGAGAAAAGGCTATAAACGATCCGCCACCTGCAGCATCCTCACATGCGATAGCCTAGTAGCCGGGATGTGATTTAATGACGCAGTGCCATGCTCGAATTTCCCGCGAAAACCGACCCGTACCACTCAAATTAGAAAACATTATTATAAGCTGTGAATCGGGCTAAAGTAGGGCGATAGTTTTGAACACTGGCTGGTTATGTACTTGCTCAAATATTTATTTCGGATAATTTTTAACCAAAAAAAAAAGTGACGGACTGCAGCTTTAAGTAAAACCGAAGGCTTGTTGCATCTCCGCGACTCTAGGTGGCAGCAGCACCCGGCGAACATCACAGACAGCCGTGGCGTGAGGAGAGACACATCCCTTCTGTTTGTTATTTACCAGTCTGCTTTTGTTTCAAACTGCAGATTCATTTATTACACATTTTACAGCCGATTTCGATGTACTGCTATTAACAGCTAATACATGCGTTCATTATACGCCTAATGATGCATTTGCACAGCGGTTGATGAGCAGATTCCAGGGTTTGTCCAGTATTTTGAGAGGTAGAAGCGTGTGGTGAGTGTTTACAAGAGGCGAGAATGGTTGCTAGTGTTTTGTAACAAACAAACGACAGCGTATGCAAAAATAATAAGTTCATGATGTTAAGATAATATAACGGTGATACAGACAAATCGACATCAAGCCACAGTCACTTCACAACATAACATCACTGTTTCTGTACTGAACCATCAGCCTGAAGCTTCTTAATTGGAACCATTGGAATGTGCAGTAACACTAATTTAGCTAAATTCACTTTAGATAATGCACAGTAAGCACTGGAAATTGATCGCTGTCACCACCTGTCACCTGACTTCAGTTTGTTGTACTATTTTTAGACTTTCTGCAGGTGGCACCCAGTACAGATGCACTGGTTGTACAGTTGTCATGCCACGTCAGTGTTTGTAACATGACTAAATGGGTAGTGTCTGTTTTTGTAGGCTGAATAATTATGGGTTCTCTCGGGAGCCACTTCCAGGCGTCACCCCGGGGCCCAGAGGAGGCTGTGGAGAGGCAGTGCGCTGGGAACAGACACAGCTGTGAGTGCAGGAAGAGGAAACGCAGCTCGCACTGTGAGTGCGACAGCGAGCCCGAGGACGAGGACAGTCAGCTGGACACGCCACGCAGGTGAGAACACATGCATCACATGGAGGCCTAATGGTTAGAGAGTCGGACTTGTAACCCGAAGGTCGCTGGTTTGAGACTCTGTACTGGCTGCCAACTGCTTCTGGTGTGTGTGTGTGTGTGTTCACTACTCACTGCTGTGTGTGTGCACTTGGATGGGTTAAATGCAGAGCACAAATTCCGAGTATGGGACACCATACTTGGCCACGCGTCACGTCCTTTCCTTTCCTTACCGTTCAAAAGTTTGGGGTTGGTCAGATTTTCTAAATATGTTTGAAAGAAGACTCTTTTGCTCACCAAGGCTGCATATAATTGATCAAAAATACAGTAAAACAATACATGTCTGACAATACTCATGTCACAATTCAGCCAATGATACGCAACACTGATTTCACAATACAATGCTCTCGCAATACTTCAACCAAAATTGATTTTTTTAAATATTATTACTTATTAGACATGATAAACAGTTAACACAAAGTACTGTTCTTTTGGCATCAGTAATTGGCTTGAACAGGTTTGGACTCTTTCTCCCCTTTGCAGAGGACATTGGTGACAGAATAGAAATATTCATGTTTTTGTGTTGCGAAAAATACAGAATTATGTTAGAGACATATGCTTGCACTCTGTCCCTGATTATATACATTTCAGTTCAGTATTGTATTTTATTAAATGATATATTTTATTTTTTAATTCATTAAGAATAATTAATAAACATAGAAGATCAAATATGTGACTTTCTGGGTTTACCATATTTGATGATTTTGCCAATATCTGCAATGCATACTATTGCATTTTAGTATGGTGAATTATTGTGATGCAATATATATTGTTGCACTCCTAGTAAAAACAGTAATATTGTGAAATATTATTCAAATTGGAATATATTTTCAAATGTAATTTATTCCTGTGATGGTAAAGCTGAATTTTCAGCATCATTACTCCAGTCTTCAGTGTCACATGATCCTTAAATTGTGACGGGGGGGGACACCTGCATTGTCACATTAATAGCGTTGTATTTATTAAATGTGTCTAATGTTTTTTTTTTGTTTTTTTCATATATCTGTGGACAGGAAAAAGTTGAAAAGCACCTCTAAGTACATCTACCAGACACTATTTTTGAATGGGGAGAACAGTGACATCCAGATCCGCGCCCTGGGGCAGGAGTGGAACCTGCATAAAATTTACCTGTGTCAGGTTGGTCCAGCTGTTCAGTTCTCCTAATAACAGAGTACTGAAGACGTTCATTTTGCTTTGATTTAAATGTTTTTTCCTCTCCTTTTGCAGTCTGGCTATTTCTCCAGCATGTTCAGTGGATCCTGGAAGGAGTCTAACATGATGGTTATTGAGCTTGAGATCCCAGACCAGAATATTGACACAGAGGGTGAGAATTCTAAGAATATGTTTCTAACATCTCCTTGATTCAATAAACAAGTTAAAAGTGTTTTGTTGACACCAAACATTCATATCTTGACCATGTTTTCTTCTCCATCTGCAGCCCTGCAAGTGGTTTTTGGGTCACTCTACAGGGATGACGTGTTGATCAAACCAAGTCGAGTTGTTAATATTCTCGCTGCTGCTTGTATGCTTCAGTTGGTGAGTATGCCCAGTGTTAAAAACAACATCATTACCATCTGATTCCTTAAAGACATACAATTACTCTGTAATGCAACTATAGCCTTTTTCCTTTCCCCATTTGAGCCAACAATATGTCTTACCTTTTTATGATCATGTGCATGTATTTTTATGGATTGCAAACCAGAAAATGTTTGTGAATTCTTCTTGTCAACTTGTTAGCTACATAAAATGATCAAACTGGTTAGAAATGTCAAGAATTACTTTTGATAGTCATAGTCGTATCAGTATGGTTGGGTTAAACATTACAAATCTGTATATTTTGCCTTTATTGCCTGTTGATTATGATAACTGTTTAATTTCAGTTAAAGTACAACTATTCAAAAGAGTTGGGTCAGGAGATTTTTTATTTTTATTTCAACAAAAGTGGCAGTAAAGGCATTTATAATGCTACAAATAAATACTGTTTTTGTTTTTGAACTTACTCTTCATCAAATAATCCTGAAAAGCAAAATCACTGTTTCCACAAAAATATGATGTTTTCAACATTGATAATAATAAATGTTTTATAAGCAGCAAATCCGATCAGAATGATTTCTGAAGGATCATGTGACACTGAAGACTAGAGTAATTGAAAGTTCAGCTTTGCATCATAGAAATAAATTACATTTTAAAATCTACTAAAATATAAAACAGTTATTTTAAATTGTAATAACATTTCACAATATTACTGTTTTTCTGTATTTTTCATACAAATGAATACAGCCTTGGCGAGCAAAAAAAACCGTAGCGTTCCCAAATGTTTGAACAGTAGTGTATGTACAGTGCCTTACGAAAGTATTCATACCCCTTAATTTTTTTTTTTCATGTTTTGTTATGTTGCTGCCTTATGTTAAACTGCTTTAAATTACTTTTTTTTTCACTGTATGTAATCGTTTTTTTTAAAGAGTGAAATAGTGTATAATTAATATATAGTAATAGTAACTTATAGTAAAGTTAAATTTGTAGCTGTAAATAATTGTAAATGTTAAATAATACTTTTTAAAAAAAAATGATACGTTTAACTTTAGAAAGGTTAAATGGCAGATTTAAATATTTAAACATTTTATACATTTTAAATGAAAAGTTTTTGTGTTTTGATCAGTTCAAATGCAAGGGTAAATAGAAATCTGAACTTCTGGAATGAAAAACAACAAATACACAGCCAATCAAAATCAGTCACCTAGCAAAACCTTAGCAACCATATAGCAACACCCTGATAGCTACCCACTACATTTTTACCCGCTACACTCGCGTTTTTGTTGAAAATAGAAAAATCTAGTTGTTTTTTAATGAATGTTATTACCTCTGTAATCACCTTTCTAGCATCATCCTTTAATAACCTGCTCTTTGTCTTTCCCAGGATGGACTGATCCAGCAGTGTGGAGAGACCATGAAGGAGAATGTGAATGTGAAGACCGTGTGCAGCTATTATAACTCAGCCACCATGTACGGCTTGGACTCCGTCATGAAGAAGTCAGTAGTCTTGTCTGATTTCCTGTCTGGTTATTCTCTGACACATCTGCAGCATAATAAACATGTTGCATGCTCTCTGTGCATTGCAGGTGTTTAGAGTGGCTCCTCAATAACCTGATGACGCATCAGAATGTGGACCTAATGAAGGAGCTCGGGTACAGTCTTACTCTATGAGTCTGTGTCTGACCTCATCTGAAGGTTTTAGTGCTTATGTTTGGTCTGTTTTACTATGTGTGTAGGGCAGAAATGATGGAACAGCTCATTCAGTCTTCTGATCTGTTCGTAATGCAAGTGGAAATGGACGTCTACACGGCAATGAAAAAGGTAGGTGACCTTGATCATATATCATCATAGCATTTTATATTACAGGCACAATCTAAAAGATTTTGTATATGATCTGCTTCATGTTTATTGCCACTTAATGGATAATCTGTGATCTTTTGGAAGCATTTTAAGAATTTAAATTAATGTATTTAATATTACATTTATTTAATCAAATAATATTAAGAAAAATTGTAAAATGCAATACATTTATTTAATAAATTAAAAGTCCATATTAATTATTTTGATAAAGGAATTACTTTTATATAGTTATATTTTAAAGTTTATATTTAGTGGATTCAAGCAACTCACACTTAATATTTCATACATTTTAGAAAAATAATATAAAAAAATGTAATTAATACTATATAACAGACATTTCAGGTATATTTATTTCTTTGTAATGGATTTTATGATGCATTACGCCCACCTCAATAAAAATTATTATCAAATCATTTCATAATTTTAATTAAATTAAAAGGATTTTTTTTAAACGTATTTTAAAATTAAAAATTTTAATTAATTTAATTTAATTGATTAAAGGGTATGGTTCCTATTCTAAATATATATCTTAAAATGTAAATGCTATCTTTAAATGAAATGTTTAATTGAATGTATATATTTTTACAATACAAACAGATATTTTTATATATGTGCAACCTGCTCTGAGTATTAACATTTTATTGGTTTTGACTGTAACAGTGTTTTTGCTATTTATTTATGTATTTTCCATAATAATATTATTTATATATTAGTATAGATATTATACATTTATATTTCAAAATTGTAATAATATTTTTATTTTGTTTTATAACCTAATTTTTTGGCATTTTTAAATACCACAGAGCAAAATGTAAAGGTTCCTTTATGAACCACAAAATGAACAGTGTTTCAAAGATTGTAAATGCAATGATAAATACACTTTTTTTTGTGCTCTGTCAATTACTATAATTGGCCAAATATAACATATTATGCAAATAGTGCTGTCAAACGATTAATCGCGATTAATCGCATCCAAAATAAACGTTTTTGTTTACATAATATATGTGTGTGTAATGTGCATATTTATTATGTATCTATAAATACAAACACATGCATGTATATATTTAAGAAAAATATGTTATGTTTATATATTAAATATATTTATATATAATATAAAATATAAGAATATAAATGTATATGCATGTAAATATTTCCAAAATATATACTGTATGTGTGCGTATTTATATATACATAATAAATATGCACATTACACATACATATATTATGTAAACAAAATCTTTTATTTTGGATGAGATTCATCGTTTGACAGCACTATATGCAAAACATATTTTTTATGTATTTATAGTTCAATGTTCTATTATTTAGTATGTCCTGGTTTTACAGGGTTAAATTTGGTGTTTTTAGTGGTGCGCTGAAACTACATCACTGCTCTCTCTTTTGACTTTTTTTTTTTCAGTGGATGTTCTTACAGCTTAATCCATCCTGGGATGGGCCTATCAAACAACTTCTGCTCGATGCAGACGCCTGGCTGTGTAAAAGAAGAAGTGGTACGTTGCACTCATAGAAATACATAAGTGCATTTATATAACCTTCCTCTAACTGCCACACTCACACACAGAGGCTGGAGAAGAGGAGCCGTTTCTGAATACAGATGACGGGATGCCATTCGTCCCTGTTTTCAGACACATCCGCCTGCAGTACATCATCAATGACCTGGCCTCGGCCCGCATGCTGGAACGGGACAACATCCTACCCCCCGGTGAGACTTTCCTGGTGCACTCGGACTCCAGTCAGATTAAAGATTTCTGAGAAAGATTTAGCTGGTTTTGTGTGCAGTATGCATCAGATAGTCCTCAGATGGTCCATTTTTGTCTGAGGCTGAGATTAGTGGGGCGGATATGAACTCAACTTCCTCTTGTGTTGTTATCAGAGTGGCTGAGCGCCGTGTACAAACAGCAGTGGTTTGCTATGCTGAGGACAGAACACGATAACGATAACGGGTGAGAGAACGGCCCAAACATCGTCACTGCTAAACATTAAACATGTGGTGTGAATTGCAAATAAGTGAATATGATTGTTACAGACCACAAGAGGCCAATAAAGATGAGTTTGAGCTGAACAGCATGCGCTGTGGCCGAAAACTGACCAAAGATGGAGATGTGAGTTGGATTCTTGCTATTAAAGGGATAGATCACCAAAAAATGAAAATTCTGTCATTAATTACTCACCCTCATGTCGTTCCAAACCCGTAAGACCTTCGTTCATCATCAGAACACAAATTAAGATATTTTTGTTGAATTCCGAGAGCTCTCTGACCCTCCCATAGACAGCAAGGATCTTTACACGATCAAGACTCAGAAACGTAGCAAGGACATTGATAAAATAATTCATGTGACATCAGGGGTTCAACCATAATTTTACAAAGCTACGAGAATACTTTTTGTGCGCAAAGAAAACAAAAATAATGACTTTATTGAACAATTCGTTCAACTCCTCCGCGTCACCCTATAGCGCCATTTTGGAGAGTATCACATATGTAAATAACGTATGCACGCGAAAGGGCTGTGCAAAAAATCGAATGGGTAATGTGCATTAAATCTCCAGCACTCACTACTAATCACCAGAAGCGGCTTTACTGACGAGATTCGCATGAAAATCACATTCGATTTTTTGCACAGCCCTAGCACACGGACACGCTGTTTATGTTGTCTACACTTTGATCTGAATGTAAACAACGTATCCGCGTGCATACGTTATTTACATATGTGATACTCTCCAAAATGGCGATATAGGGTGACGCGGAGGAGACAAATTGTTGAATAAATTCATTATTTTTGTTTTCTTTGCACACAAAAAGTATTCTCGTAGTTTCGTAAAATTACGGTTGAACCACTGATGTCACATGAATTATTTTATCAATGTCCTTACTATGTTTCTGAGTCTTGATCGTGTAAAGATCCTTGCTGTCTATGGTGGGGTCAGAGAGCTCTCAGAATTCATCAAAAATATCTTAATTTGTGTTCTGAAGATGAATGAAGGTCTTACAGGTCTGGAACGACATGAGGGTGAGTAATTAATGACAGAATTTTCATTTTTGGGTGAACTATCCCTTTAAATTTGTTGTGTCTTTTGCTAGTTAAGAATGGAATGTATATATTTGTTGTTGTCTCTACAGTACTGTTGGCGATGGACAGGGTTCAATTATGGCTTTGACCTGCTGGTTACCTATACGAATCGTTTCATCATCTTTAAGAGAAACACCCTCAGTCAGCCATGTGGAGGCGCTGTCAGCTTACAGCCACGACGCCACTTTGCGTACCGGTGAGCTGTTACACCTCGGATTATATTATATTATATGTTATGTTATGTTATGTTATGTTATGTTTATCTCTAACCCTAATCAAACACACCGGAGTTTGCTAATCAATGTCTTCAGGATCATTAGAAAATCACAGGTAGGTTTGTTTGATTATAGGGTTGGAGCTAAACTCTGCAGGAAAGTGGATCTCGCGAGCCAGATTTGAGGATCACGGTTATAATACAACATACAGTCTGTATAAAATATAAATCATAATAGTAAAGTTTTTTTTGTACATATATTGGACATATATGTTTCTTAGTAATACAAGTACAAGATATATTATTAATTTGTAAAATAATATTTTTATATGATTTTAATAATTAATACATTAATTTATTCATTAATTTATGTTTTATTACTTTATAATAAAAATATTTAATTAACAGATAACACCATACTTCCCCAGTTAATCACAGTATATTAAGAAATTACATTTTGTATTGTAGTTGAACTGTTATGTTTAAATATGCAAAAGAAGCGCATTATATAATTAAAATGCACTAAACTGCATACATTTCAAGAACAGAAATCTGAACATAGGATAAAGCCAGGTAAAAAAATATTCTTTCTTTCTTTCCTTCTTTCTTTCTTTACATATTAGAGTTGAAGGATTTTTACAGCTGTGACTTTGATATATTTTAATCACTTCTTAAATCAGAAAGTCCTATCAACTGCCAGAAAAAGATGATTTGCCACCATATTTTTAGGAAAAAAATTGATATATTCGGACAAATGATATGAATATAGACAGGAATAAAACCGTAAAGTTTGTTGAGTGTAAGTGTTACTGAAGTGGATATTTCTGGCTCAGTGGAGGAAAAAAATTGAGAAAATGGTCTTTAAAGATATGTATTATAAGTAAAACCTTCGGCTGCAAATGGATAAAATGTAATAAAAGAAACAAATGTGTATTTTGTATGTTTTCTCTCTGCTAGCCTGAAAGAAGACATGTTATGAAAGCAAAAAATAGCCTAAAATCTCAAATTTGACCAATGCATGAAAAAACAATAGTTTTGACTGTAGTGTCTCTTGCCTTGGATAAAATGTATATTAAATAATATTTATAAATATATTACGTATATATTTTTAAGTCATTATTTTTAATTTGGTATTTAAAATTATTTTTAAATTACATTTTTTTTTCTTTTTTCAGATTGCGCCTTGCTTCATTTGATAACAGTGGAAAAGTGGTTTGCAGCCGGTCAACTGGCTACCAGCTTGTTACCCTCGAAAAGGACCAGGTATTCTGTCTTAATGTTAAATATTAAATCATTTTATTTCCAGTTACTTCAAGGCTTGACTTGACTGAACTACTTCATTGTGTTACGATCACAGGAATACGTGGTGATGAATCTGGACAGCCGGCTCTTGTCTTTTCCTCTGTGTGTGTGCTGTAACTTCCTCTACACTTCCCCGTCCAGTGAGAGGAGAGGTGACACCCCGGAGCCGGAGAACAGTGCCCGCAGTGTGTCATGACGGCACACCACAAAACCTCCATCAGCCACCAGTCCAGCCTTCTTATGATTTACAGTTTGTTAGCGTCATGTATATTATTGCAGTCATTTTATTTGTATGCTTAATTTGTAAATAGTCAGGTGCTTTTTAAATAATTTGCTATATATCAGCATCAGAGCTAAGAGGAAGTGCTCTTGGTCGTGAACTTCATTTGACTCTTTTTGTGTTTGTTTGGAAGTTGTATTATATGTAAACTTGTTAGGCTGGTTATTAATTTGTCAGTCATTCCTATTTTTTGTTTTACAAAGACTGAACATTGGTTTTGTACTGTTGTATTTGTTTGAAATTGGTGCTAATGTGATACATGTTGTCATTATTTGTCAATGCATGCCGATGTAGGAGCAGTGAAGGGTTAACAGGCATGTGTTGGGTTTACCAACAGGGCATTTTAAGTGACTTCCACAGGTGTCCAATGAAGCAGTACAATTTTCACTATTTATACACAATGTGGTTTTGGTGAAATGTAAATATTGTTGGACCAAACCGTCATATGAAATAAATAGGTTCATTAAAACAGCACTGACAGAAGAAATTGCGTTCACTTTTTCAAACTGCAATGTGAAAAACATCAGTAATAAAACCTGTTTGAACAGGATGATTTTCTATATACACAAATACACATATAATATGTATATTATATGTATGTACACAGGCACAATTTTTATTATTTTAGCTGCTGACCAAAACATATTCAAGTTACAGTTATATAATAAATACGGGCTTAAAGTGCACACTGATCTTTAAAACAAAAAAAAACTTTTGAAATGTTTTACTTTACATGTAATGAATCTAGAATATATGAAAGTTTCACTTTTTGAAATAAGTTACAAAAAGAACTTTTTCACGATATGCTAATTTTTTTAAATGCACCTGTATATAAATTTATTTTAGGTATATGTTAAGCCAGGTATATATTCGTTTAAAATAATATATTCTTATATATTATAAGGTATATATTCTTTTTTATTTATTTAGTGGTGAAATGTCCTGGACATTTCTAGACAGTTGTCAAGAGATTGACCCTAATAGTTTTGCTAGATTACATAATGTTTCCCTCCCTCTGTCATTCAACAGGCAGCAAGTTGGTTTGATCACATTTATTGTCTGTACAAAAACCACAAACAATATGGACACAGAAATCAGCACATGCCATTCACCAAGCCACAATCAGGTGACGGCAATCACAATCCTCCATCCAGTAAACTCACGAGTCCACAAGAATCATTTCCTACAGCCTCAGCCACAGTCAGAGCTTCACTGAGCTATTGAGTTCAGGCTGTCCTTCAGTCTGCGAGTCATGCTGGGCAGCAGGCTCAGGTGTTCGTCCACACAGCTGCCCACACAGCTGTCCATCAGCGCCCGCACGGCAGGCTCCTTCGCCCCGGAGTCAAACAGATCCTTGGCCTTGTCGTTACAGTGCATTGTACACCTCGTGAGACGATCCTGTCGTCGATGAATAAATGGTTAGTCTATATGACATTATTCCAGCTATAAGACTAAAAGTGAACGATGGCTGACAGAAGTCGACTGACCTGAAACTGCTGGAGTTCACTGGTGACCAGTCCTTGAGCTTTAGCCAGCGGTGTGTGGCAGCGGTCGATACACTGGTGCACCTGGTTCATGGAGTGGCCGGGATTCTCACAACACTCTGCGCTGCAGCGGAACATGCGGCCCTGAAGATCGAAAGAGCGTCATAAGCCATTACTTAATCAACCTTTGACTAATAAGTGGGCAAAAACTATGGCTTAAGTCAATATAGTAAATCAATAGAGAAAAAAAAAAACAGAATGAACAAAACAGATTACTGCACATCACCAGAAGCTGACCTGACATGTCAAATATCGACAGCAATGTTCTATAGTGTAACATGCTATACATACAATTATTTAAACTTTGCCAAAACATTTTAAAACTTTTTTTTCCCAATTCTTGTCTAAATATTACAGTTACAGGCAGTTTTAAGACTTCATATTAAGAGACTACATGTAACAAAAAATTACTATTTAAAAATAATAAAAATGTAAATGAATTAAGCAATTCATTGGATATTATAAAATTAAATAGTATAAATTAACTATATTAAAATTATATAAATGGTGATTAAAACAATTATAGACTGCCATTACAGTGTGGGGTCTGTAAGATTTTTTTGTTTTTGAAAGAAGTGTCTTATGTTCACCTCACCAAGACTGAGCTTATTTGATGAAACGGCTATATTGTGAACTATTATTACAATTTAAAATAATGTTTCTATTTGAATATATTTAAAAATGTAATTTATTCCAGTGATGGAAAAGCTGAATCTTCAGCATCATTACCCCAGTCTTCAGTGTCACGTGATCCTTCAGAAATCATTCTAATATGCAGATCTGCTGCTCAAGAAACATTTCTGATTATTATTAGTATGGCTATTGTGTGTTTGTGGAAGCATTGTTACATTTATTCCAGGATTCTTTGATGGGCAGAAAGTTCAAAAGAACAGCATTTATTCAAAATAGACTTTGTCCGTTTTTACTGCCACTTTTGACCAATTTAACACATCCCAGCTAAATAAAATTATTTATGTAATTAAAAAAATGAATAGCTGTTTAGTTGTAAACTGATGTGGCGTAAAAGACTCGTGAATTAATGTTGACATACAAAGAGCAACAGTGTTCATCACAGATACCCAGCACTGGATAGTATCTAGATCTGTTACTTCTGTATTAGGAGGAACATGAAAAATGAAGCTTACCTGCATCTTACGGATGTGCTCTTTCTCCAGACTCTGAACCATCTCCTCCACTGCCTTCTGCACGCGAGCCTGCTGTGCTTCTGTCATTCCTGATCTCACATCAACTGCTTTTATTTTCAGGAAACGTTAGTTAGAAAGCTACTACTTCAACCAGCGACTCTATAAAGCCATGACTCAAAACCAACTCATTTTACAAACAAAGCCTGGAAATCCTTACTAAAACGTTCAAATGTATCAACTTGAAATGAAACCAAAAATCCTGCAATTTAACAATTCTTCAGTAAGGTCACCTCCTCCACGCCACTTCCGCCGTGGAGTGCGTCCTATTTCCGCTTCCGTACTTCATCCGAAGAACGAATCTGCGGCTGCTGGATTTCACGCACCTGTGTTATGCACTTTATTTTAACTTCTCATCCTGACCTTTAAACAGGTGAGATACATCGTTTTTTACAGCTGCGTATATTTGAACGTGACATGCCTGACGATGTCTGTATGCGAGTCTGACTAGTTTAACAGCAACAAGTTTAACTTCTCAACTCATTTGTTTTGCTTCGATGATGAGACTTTGTCCTCTCTGGCTACAGTAGTTATTATCAATGCCATTAATTCAAAATTTGCATTTTTATTACATTTCACATTATCAGACCGTCGAAATTGTCAATTGGATTTCTTCATGCTTGCGTTCAAAAAAGTTGAACCTGCTGAAAGATGCAATGAATTTATTTTTGTTTTATGTAAATGAAAACGTCCAATTCTAAACAACTTTGTTTATGAGCTAAATCATAAAACGGTCGAAAAGCTGCAGTATATTGCAATATGTATATATTTTAATGTTTTTACTTCAGAGGTTCTCAGGTGTCCAGGTGTCCTCAACCGAGATAAAGTTGGTTCGACGTTCGACGTGAAGATATTCAGCCGCGAAAAACTTCAATAAATTCTTAGTGGATGAGTATAATTGTATACAAAATGGCTTATCTGAAAAGCATTAAAACGTAGAACTGAAAACACATCGCAGTTTATTTGTTTTAATCGTCTTCTATATGTTGAAACGCATAAAGCCTCTAGCAGCGGCGAGCTAGCGCTTAGGCCAGCTAGGGACCGTCTACAAAGTACACGCATAAAGTCTCTAGCAGCAGCGAGCTAGCGCTTAGGCCAGCTAGGGACAGTCTACAAAGTACACGTAAAGGATAAAACGATTAATTATTAATTAGTTTTCCCTCCGGAATGTTTTTTACAATGAACAAAACAAGAGCAATTTGTGCACCAAGGTCTTTGAAAGATATAAAGACAAACACTTATAACGCTCACTTGAATTTAAATAAGAAATATTGTAAACAAGATATGTGATAGTGGTTATTATTATATTATTACTATTAATAAATATATTAATAAAAGAAAAATAATATTAAAAATCATTATCATTCCATAATTTAGTGGTTATGCAGTAGGCTTATTCCAGGTCCTTGTGAGAACATTTTAATGCTTGTTGTTTTCACAGAAGTTTGACACCAAAAAACACACCATTTAAACCAATAAATAAATTAATTAAAAATGAATACACTCTTCTGTATTAACCTCATGTCTTTGTTACTGTTTTTATAAGAACATTTTTATATTTGTTTTAGTCACAGAACTATAATAGAAAACATGGTATTGAAATTCAACAATTAAGACAAAACTGGCAAAGAGTGTTGTTTTGCAGTTGTTTTGACTTGAGTTTGAAAATCTAATTTTTAATACATTAATTTATAACACAGTTTTCTGGCTTCAGCCAATTGTTATTGTCTTACATTTCAAAATAAAAACTTATAAATTAATCATTGTTTCTAGTTGATCTAAAATAAAATATGCTATACAAGTAAATATTCTCCGTGAGAGCAGAGCCCAAAGCTTGTGGCCAGTGGTGTTCAGACTGGAGTTTGAACCTCTGCTTAATGATATAAACGGGAATCACCCACGAGCCATCAGCGCAGGGGAAAGATTTTACTCTATCGCTTTGTTCCAAGCAACGGGGGCATCCCCGGGCACGACATTCGCAGGGTAGGAGGGGGTAGTGACGCTGGGTGTAACTAAAAAGTTGCCATTGTCCGGTGAGGTCCGGTTGGGGAGTTACGGAACGATCTCATATCGCATAATCTTATTAACTGTTTATCTCCTGAACTGCAACTTTCTTTACCACGATATTCAGCGCCAATCCCCCCGTGCAGTCAATTTCACTGGTTAAGG